ACTTGCCTTGCATGCGTTCAACCTGGGTTCAATCGCTGACATCCCATATGGTCCCAGGAGCACAAGCCAGAAGTGATTTCTGAGTTGAGTGATCCCTGAGTACCGCCAGGTGTGAGTCAAAAATAAAAATAAGTAAAATAAAAATAAAGATGGGAAGCCGTGTTGGTGGTGATGTACCCCCCGACTCAGCCTCTGTAGAAAGGCACCTGGAGGCTTTTCAAACCCTAGGAATAGAGCTTCTGTGTGACACAGTGAGCCGACTTCCTGCCACCTCTCCCCCAAGCCTAAGAACAGGAGCTTGAAGCGATATTATACGTGCCTGTATATGGCAGCACTTAGGACAAAAGCATGTAGAAACAGCCCAAACCTCCAACGACAGATGATTGGATCAAGAAACTGGCACACACAATGGAATACTTGGCAGAGATCAGGATAGATGAAATCTTGGCAGTTTGCTACAGTTTGGATGGGACCCAAGAGCATCGATGTTAAGGAAAATAAGAGGGATGGCAAATCTTGGACGATTTCACTCACCTGTGATATACAGAGAAGACGAGGGCACAGACAGATAGAACGATGACAGGTTTTTGGCCCTGGATTATACAACTGAGATTCTCAAGTTGGGGAGGGAAAGAAAAAAAAAAAAGACTAGAAGCAACTTAAGGACAGTGGTGGAGACAGGTGTGTGTGTGGGGGGGGGGGGGGCACTTTGGTGGTGTCGCATGGAGACCAGAACAGCCAGCACTGTTGCAAAGTTCCTCTAGCTAAAATAATCTACAAGGAGAATAACATTTCCCCCCTGTGTTTGAGGGCTATAGCATAGAGGACAGTAGATCCCCAAATCTCACTGAGGAGAGCCTGGGTACCCCAAGAGGGAAGCATTTTGTTTTTTTGCTGCTTTTGGGTCACATCCAGTCTTGCTCAGGGGTTACTCCTGGTTCTGCATTCAGTGACACTCCTGGGAGTGATAGTGGGACCATAGGGGGTACCAGGGATCGAATCTGGGTCTGCTGCGTCCAAGGCCAACACCAGCCCCACTGTACTTTTGTGATCTGGGCCTCATTGTTTTTTGTGACACTGGTGATCGCACCCTCTGTAGCACTGTCCTCCCATTGTTCATCGATTTGCTAGAGCAAGCCCAGTAACATCTCCACTGTGAGACTTTGTTATTACTGTGTTTGGCATATTGAGTACGTTGTGGGTAGCTCGCCAGGCTTTGCCGTGCGGGCGAGATACTCTCGTTAGCTTGCGGGGCTCTGAGAGGGGCGGAAGAATTAAACCCGGCTCGGCCGGGCTGGCTGCGCGCAAGGCAAACGTCCTACCCCTGTGCTATTGCTCCAGCCCCCAGAGCCTCCCAAATGCAAAGCATGCACTGCTACTGTGGTCTTGTAGCTAGTTTACAGGACCATGTGTGTATGTTAGAAGTATTACCACACCACACATTACCAGAGTGCCAATTTCCCCCCCCCACCCCCAAACACACACACTCCATGCCATCCTTGGGAGTCCATTCCTCAGGAGTGGGGTTTCAGGGTTTGCTTCTAATCACATTGCCTGGTTCCTTTGTCTTATAGACCATGGATGAGTGACAGCATCTGGGATGTCTTTCTCCCCCGTAAGTTGACTTCACTTGGCATGACATTCTCCAGTTTCATTCATGCAGTCACAAAAGGCAAGGTAGGTTTAATCTTTGGGGGTGCTAGGTTGCAAAGGGAGCTCCGAAACATTGCTCAGTAGACCCAGGGGCCCTTCCCGGGGATTCTGTGCTAACCATCATGCCAACAGTGCAAGGACCGGAGGTGCTGGTGCTGCTTGTGCCCTGTGGCGTCCAGAACTATCCAGGCCACCCTGGTGCTTAGGTGACCATGTGGCACCAGGGATCAAAGCGGGACTGTCACATGCCAGTTTGCCTTAAGCCCTGTGCTGTCTCTCCAGCGCCGACTTCATCTTTTCTTGTGGCTCAGTGCTGTTCCCTTAGGCACACACGTACCACACGCTCCCTGCCCGCTCCACTCTGGGGCATTGGGTCGCTTCCAAATCCTCACTATTATAAATAGTAGATGGACTGTTCTGTTCATGTATTCTTAGAAAGGCTTTAATGGACAACTGCTTATGCCCAGAAAAACTGAAAAGGGTCAGAAATAAAACAATATTCAGGGATTCTAATTGGTTATTCTGTGAATCTCTGGGTGGTGTGAAATGTCTTCACTTGGCATGGACACTGGCACAACTCCTTGAGGGGCCAGAGGGGCAGTATTGCAGGTAGGGTGTTTGCCTTGCAAGCAGCTAGCCCAGGTTCTATCCCCGACACCCTATATGGTCCCTGGAGCACTCTAGGAGTCATACTTAACTGAGTACAGTCAGAAGTTATCCCTGAGCGTTGCCAAGTGTGACCCCAAACCCAAAACAAAGGAACCCAAAACTCCTTGGGAGTCCAAGTTAAAAGAAAGCCTCACCTTTAGCAGAGAACCGCAAGTGGAATGGTAGGTCAGAATTTGCATCGTCTTGACTTGGGAGCACAGGGCAAAGAAAAACCCTTTGCTGACATTTGTATCTTGTTCTTAAAAACAGGTCCCCAGAGTTATTTGGCCTACTGTGCCCTTTTCAGAAAAACCACTAAGTGCCCTCCTGGGAATCCTCCTTAGGCGAACAAAGCATACTCCCCCCCACCCTGCCCCCCTGCCCAGATTGTTTTGGAACCCTTGCCAGTGCAGCATTGGTCAACTAGAGAAACTGCTCTAGTGTCAAGCTATGAACAAAACAATACTAATTGAAATAGTAATGGGAGAGCTGGAGAACTTGCTCTGTATGGCCCGGTGCTAGGTTGGGTCCCCCAGCACTGTCAAGAGGACCCCAAGTGTTCCCTTCCACCTGCCATCTCCCCAAAAGAAAGTAAGAGAAGACCAGGAAAAGTTGTTCTAGTTTTGAGAGGAAACTTCTAAATCTTGGAATATAGCTAAAGAATACATAAGAAAATACCTTAAGAAGTGAGAGCAAAGGTACAATGGGGGGGGGGGGTGTCTTTATTTCTGATGTGATAATTCAAAAGCAGGTATTTAAAAATTATATCCATAGTTATACCAAGTATCTTAAAATGTCATTCTCCAGATTATAAAACTGATGCATTCTTAAAAATGCATTTACCTTTATCTTCAGAGTTGTGGTTAAGTGTAGTTTCAAAGACTCAGAAAGTAGTAATGAACTCTCGAACTTCCAATATTTTAAAAGGCTTGATAGAAGTCACATTAAGAAATTGCTTGTTAACAAAACAGTATCTTGCTGGCACTGCACTAACTTGGGGGTGATGCAGATTATGGAAGTTCTGGCTGACAGCACTCTCCCTTTAACAGAAATGTCACTTCACGAGAACAGTGTAATTTGACAAATTAAACCATTCAGACGTTTAAGTCAAGGGAGAAAATTTTAAAAGGGTTACCCGGTCTTAGAAAAATTGCTAGCTAATATTCCACTGCCACACACTTTTTTTGTCTCTTGGTTCCCATGGTTAATTAAAAAACTATAAGAATTTTATCAGCAATCTACTGTAAATTTCAAAGGACAGAACTCTCACGAAATTGAATGTTACTTCTGATTATCCAGGCTTGTTTCATTAAAGGAGCAAGAGTCACTCAACTGCAAAAAAAATCCTAACTTCCTTCAAAAGATCACTCACAAATGAATAATTAAAACACTACTGACCAGTCTCGATGCTTAGTAATTCAAAGAAAATAACTTTAAAATTCAGGCAAAGATGCTTGATACTGTAATAGGAATGTAATACAAATTTATTAATTTTAAAACATGAACTGACATTTTCAACTAGCTTACTTCCACATTAAAAAAAAAAATGCAGGTTTCAAATAGGGTCTTGAGGTTGATCACTACCCTGAACTCAGCCAAGACACTTCAGAAAACATCTCAAGGAACTCCCCTTGAGCAGCCTCATCAGTGCCAGTTTAAATCAATTTGAACAATGTTTTAAGCCAGATGGCTTTCAAAGATTTCCCTGGAAGCCATTACAGATGGTCTCCCATAATTTCCCTCAAACTACATTTAAAATATGCATAGACATGTGTCTCTCCACCTGGAATTTGTCATTCTCAAGAAACTAACCAGTTAACAATGAGAAAACTTGTCTACAGATTTCTGAATTATGCTGGTTTTTGATAAAAACCTTCATGCTTATTTGAATTTTCTAGATCTTAACAGAGATGCTATGTTCAGTCCACTCTTTCAAACTACACCCAAATCCTACCAGCTTTCCAAAGTGACACACGCTTCTGAATGCAAACCGGGAGATTGCATACAGGTGCGTTCCCTCTACTCCTCTAACTCCTTCGGATAAAAAGCAGTGGTTCACGGCAGTGAATTCTTGCCATTCAACCAAGACTAAAATTCTGATCCCAATTTGACTTGCAATTTCAATACTAATCAGTATTAAGGGAAGACAGCATTTGATTTTGCTTAAATCTATCAAATGGCATATACAACACCTAAAAAAGTTTATATATACTTAGTGTCCTTGAGTCACCTTTTTCTTCAATGAAACTTGAAGTTGACCCTTTTTTTTTTTAAATCAATGATGCCCTTTCCTGATGTGTTAAAAACTACTTAGTCTGGTCTCTGCATCATTCCAAAAAAAAAAAAAATTCAAATAAAGTGGCTATCCACAATTATTCTGCGATATTCTATTTCTAAAAAGGCTCATGCTGTATTAACATAAATTACTAGTGTAATTAGATGACTTTTACCTGAGCCCCTTTGAGTATTTCAGAATGAGACTGACTTGCCTTGAGGTTTCAAATTTATTTCAGTTGGCCTTTGGAGTCTAAAGTCCAAAGTTCCCCCAAGGAAAAAAAGAACAGCTTTCCCCCCTACTCCAATTCTGTGTAAATGTCAATTTCTGGACAGTGTATTTCTTCAGCATCTATGTGGAGACTTGATTGGAAAAAAAAAAATTAAAAAAAATCCTTTGTTTCACCTGGAAGGGACAATGGTTCTATCAACTCATCACCTAATTGTAAACTGGTGTACCTAGGTTTCACTGTCCTAAAGGTACTACAGTCACTCAGAACTGGGAATCTCTGCTTCCCGAGATTGCATGTTTAATAAACGGAATCCCCTACACTAGCCAACAGCCTTAGCTGTAAGGTCAAATAGCAGAACTGGAGCAAAACAAGGCCAGCAACATTGTAACCTGATAGTCCACCAAGCACAGATGTCACTGGAACGAAGAAAATTGCAGGCACCATAGAAAACAAAAAGGCAGGTTCATCACACACACCAAAAATTCTACTGGGAGCTGAGGGTCAGGTCACCTTCTCTGCATGTGAACACATAAACCATCTAAGCAGCTAATATGGAACCATGGAAACAAAACTTCAGATCTAAGAACTACAGCGAACAAAATTCTAAGCTTCAATTCACCCAGGAATTGGTCAACATCCAGAGCTCAAACTGCTCAATTCTTTTTAAAGTACCAGGTCTAAATGCTGCAACGACACAAGGATACTTAGATGTACACTATTAACATACAGAAGACTTTAAAAGCTCCCACTAGTCCTGTCTATGAGTATGCGCAACTCTTCAGTACACAACTCGGCAGTGCTAACAGCATTCTAATTCACACATTCACACCCAGTAAGACCACCTCTAGAAAATACCGTCCAAGTTGGTGCTTGTTATGAGACAACACCAACAAATACAAGTAACTTACCCTGCTACTTAGTTAATAACCTTTACCCACCAAAAGTCTCTTCTGAATATTCAGATACTCTGGCACTGTAACTCCTTCCTACCACTTTTAACAGTGCTCTCTCCCCGTCTACATCTGGTCATTTTATGACATGCTCAGGGCAGTATGCTTAGCTGAAAGTTTTGTGAGCAGACCTTTAATCAAATGAACCTTAACAAATGGCTTCTGAAGACACAGATACCCTCTCCAGCCCCAACAGTTTTCCTTAATAGTCTAGGACTTGTGGTCTACTCGAAAGTTTCTGTTAATGCAACACTATTGGCTACGTCACAGAGACTTTTGTGACAAGGCCCCAGATTAACTGGAACACAAACACTTCAGAGTAAGTATGCCTGAAAGAACAGAGACAGTGTAGCTGGCTACTCATAAAGGAAGTCCCCCCCATGGACCCATACTTCCTACCAAATAAACTGTGCCCTTATTATTGCTTATTTAAAAATATACCTTGCAGGGCTATGTAGTACCTGACGCAGAAAAACAATCACATAAGGAAACATTTATTTGAGGTTTAACATGAAATCATACAAATAAAATTTGTATAAACACAAATCCACACCGAGTCATAACACAGATAGCAAAGGACAAAGTAAAAACAAAGAGAACTAACTGGAGGCTATATACAGTCGGACACAGTTGTGTCATGTACACTACAAAGTCTTTACAAAATAATCATCTTAGATCAACAGATGACCAATCTTCGATGTTGTCCTGCAAGATGGGTAACTTTAAGCATCTCCCCCTACGAACAAAAACAAAATACCAATTAGACTTGTGCCACTCTTGACAAGCTTTCAAAGGTCCACTTTCATGAACTGTTTTAAGTCCTCACTTTATTCTTTTCGACAACAATTAAAGATCACATGCATATTAATTGGCAAAATCCAGTTTGGGTAATAATTTATCCAGAATCCTCAAATATTAAATTTCAACCTAGTCAGAAAATTAGAAGACTCTGGGAACATGGCCTTCCCCTATTCCAGACTGGAATGCTGCTGGATTCAAGACCACTAGAAACATCTCTAGTAAGCCAAGTAAAATACTGTTACAGCCACAAGCTCCTAATAAGAATACTGTATTTCAAGAGCACGAATTACTTTGTGCATATGATCTTTAATTTATATCCCAGATTTAAAAGTTGTTTTGGTTTGTAGATTTCACTATTAGCTATAAAAAGAAAAAGCAAGCATTAAATCTTAAAGAATGAACACTTAAAATGAGGCTCCACAATTGAAATACAACACTAAACAGAAGACCAAAATGATTAAGCTGTAAAAAGGCATTTATGTACTTTTAACTCCTGTAAAAAACCATTTACGTTAAGTTTAGACACTTAATCTTCAAAAAGATTAAAAAGAAGCCAAAGTCTGAAGTTTTCCACTTTAATCTTTACGCTGGTACATGAAGTTGGAAGAGACCATACCACAGGACAGCGTTTTCTGGTGTATGCCTTGCGCTCTGCCCGCAACGTGCGACCCCCAGAGATAGACGTGGTCAGGGTGACACACGGCCTGCAATGAAGTTCCCGCTGGCGGGTACAAACAAGGTATAATGTCAGAGTTAGAAGACAACATTCTTGTTTTCCTTAAGTTGTACCCATTTCAGTACTTTACCTGTTAATAGTTCTAAAAAAGTTTAATTATTCCTCTAGACCACCTGGTACACAAAGCAAACAGAAAAACTCTTAAGTTTTTCTGTAATACTAAAGAAAGTGAGATAAAACTTTAAAGTTAAAGATCTATAGACACTTTAGGCAAAACAGGCTTATCAAAGCAATTACAAAATTAACAATTTAGTAAAAACAGACTACATATTATTTTGTTTTTACTTATTTTTCATTTGTCTATTGATCTTTAAATTAAATTAGACACTTCCACTGGTTTCTCGAACTCTTATACACACCTGTCTTTCTCCATGTCTTCTTTTAGTATGGCTGGTAATTATTTTGGTGATTGCCACCCCCTCGCGATGCCTTGCCATAAGTGCTCTGTTGGCCTATTTTGGAAAGACAAAGCATATTAGTTACCTGCAAAATGGCTTCATCAGATACATAAAAACACTGTAAAATTCTGCATGCTGAATATTACAACAAATTCATAAACAGTATCCATATAAAGCAATGTATCATTCTAGAAAGTTTATAACTACCACTTTAATGATCACCTTGTCTTAAAAAAAAAGTAGCCCCCATCCCTCAAATAAATAGATCTGTCAATCTCATACATTTAAACAATTCAGAATGGGATTGGTTTACGAAATTAAGTTAAATATTCTTACCACTGTAGTCTGCATATCCCTGTCCATATCCATAGTTCCCATAGTTATACCCAGTATAATCATATCCGCCATAGCCACTATAGTTTTGATCACCACCATAGGCACTATTGTAATTTCCATATCCTTGATCATAATAGTTATTAAATCCTTGGTTCCAGTTTTGGCCCTGACCTGAAACAATGCACAATGATAGTTAGGAAATAACTTCTGACCCCCAATCCTAACATAAAATGTGCCCTTGTGGCTCACTAGACAAATTTCAAAAAGGCAGAATGCATCTCTATGGGCATCTGCGCAAGACAGCATTTCTAATTACCACAAGAAAGGGGGCAGAAAGTCCAATTGTGCCAAAATCAAGCTCCCTACTTCTGCTAGACAATGCAAAACCAGGACAAAGGTGAAGACAGGCAGACTAGCTGTGAAGCCAGGACTCCCGCACAAGACCGTCTTTCATGCCAAGGTGTATTGTGTCCTTTCAACTACACTGGCTGCTCATCTTCTCAACAGTGCTGACACTGAGTGGCCACCGGAGGAGGCGAGATCAGAGATCAGAGCCCCACCCAATTCGGCCAGAGCTTCTCCCCCCTTTGTAAGCTTCAAAGTGAAATTTACTTCGAAGGTTCACACACTGAACTCTTCAAGGCTAGACAACATCAAGTGGCCCCACAGCTCACCTCGGCCGCGACCCCTAGTCCCACCACGTCCACCTGCGGCAGCACCCCTTCCTCCTTTCTGTTGCTGCTGTTGCTGCCTATACACCTCTTTGGGCTGTGCAACTTTGATTTCACACTAGAAACAAATTTTGGAGAGGGAAAACGGTGTGGTTACTGAAGCCTAATTCAACGCCACTCTCAAATCAGACAGAGGTAATTGGACCCGAGGAAACAGATCCTCCAGCCCTTCATTGAATATTGACAAAACGGTTTTACCTTCCCAGATCCAATTTGGTGGTATCTGCTTTCTAACAATTTCTTAACTGGCTCTTCATCTGTATATGTGATAAAACAAAATCCTCTCCTCTCATTTGTTTTTGTATCCATGGGCAGTTCAATATTTTCGATCTGAAATCAAGACGCACGCTCAATCCTCCATCCAGTAAGGCACTTTTCCAAGTTTCAACAAAAAACATGCTATCAGTGACTTCTGCAAGGCACCGCGCTAGCAGACATCAAGCTAAAATGTAGCAAGTTTGGAGCATGTAGCAAGTTTGGAGCTTAGCGGGAAAGCAGCCGCCCCGCCCCTCCCTCCGCCCCCCTTTTGCACACACATGCCACACGTGCCAATAAGCCCCATCACACCAAAACGCCCGTTTTGGTTAAGAAAAACCAGGTACTGGTTTTCACTAGAGCATAGAGAAGCCAAAGGAAGGGACCTGAGCATTTAACCCCCACCTCACCTGACATACAAACGTGTTCTGCACTAAACAGACCAGAGATGATTATATAAGCAAAATGGAATCACACAGCGCACCTCTCCAAAGGCTCCAAAATATTCTTTAATTTGCTCTTCCGAAGTATCTGGGCTCAATCCACCCACAAAAACCTTTTTAGGGGGCTCCTTCCCCTTTAAAGCTTTGGCCCTTTTGGGGTCTATCAATTTGCCATCCAGTTTGTGTTCTTTGAGTTCCAAAACCTAGAAGACAGAGCGATTTACTCGGGCAGCCAGCTCAACCCCGGCCGCAGACGCCAGAAAGCGCGCGGGAGAGGCACAGGCGCCCGGGCGAGCCGCGGCCCCTACCTTATCCACACTAGCAGCATCTTTGAAAAGCACAAATCCAAATCCTCTTGATCTTCCAGTGACCGGATCTGTTTTAATGGTACAGTCTACAACTTCCCCAAACCGGGACAAATACTCGGTCAGATCTTTCTTGCTCGTATCCCAGCTCAAGCCTCCGATAAACATTTTACTAGGAATAAAAGCGATTTTCTTTTCTTTTTTAAAACGTTAGCAGCAAGAACAACAAACAAACAGCAACAACAAAAGCAAAGACAGACAACGACAAACCCCAAATCACTTCGACTTCGGAAACGGACTAGGGTTTAACCGGGACAACTTGCCCTTTCTGGTCCCCATCCCACCCAACTTTAATCCATGCCTAGGTAGGGAGCAAGCAAGGAAAGAACCCCCCGCCCCCCAGCCTGTCCTCTCCAACCCGCTGGCCAGCTCTACCCCGGGGCCCTGCCCGTTGCATTGCACATTGCAGTGTCCAGTTCTGCAAAGCGGCCGTCCAGGACGTCGCTCAAGCGACGGCGGGGCCCTAAACTTAGGCCCACCGTGCAAGCCACATACACGACTGCTCCCGGGGAGAGGGGGATGGCCACGTTGACGTCCGATCCCCCCAGCGTTATTGGATTCCTTTGCAACACTCCCAGCCGGCCCTTTGCAGCCAGGGCCGCCTGCGAAGCCGCCCGGGGACACAATGAAGAGGCGGCGGCAGCTGCAGCGTGTGGTGCAGCGCGGCGGCCCCTCCCCCCGCCACGGCGCCTGCGCACTCGGGCCCTGCCGCCGCCGCCACCGCCGCGGGCCGCCAGCCCCGCCCTGCCCCCACCGCCCGCGGGCCTCCGTGTCACCCCCCCACGACTCAGGCTTCCACGGGGCCTGCCGCTGCGGCGGGCCGGGCAGCGCGTGGGCTGCCCCGGGGGCCCCGAGAGGCGAGGCGAGGCGGCGCGCGTGCGGGGTGGGGGGTGGCGGCGAGGAGGAGGAGGAGGAGGAGGAGGGCGACGCGTGCGGTACCCGTCATCCTGCTGGTTCTTGCTGGCGTTGATCTTGGAGCCCTCGGCGAATTCCTCTATGTTGCTGTACTCGTTCATGTCCTCCATGGCGGCGGCCGGGGCGTGCGGGCGCGCGGCGGTTCGCGGGGCGGCGGCGGAGGCCGAGGCAGAGCGTTGGATGGAGCTGGATTTAAAATGGCGGCGGAAGAGATCCGGCCGCCGCCTGCGCCCTCCCTTTATAGCCGCCCCGCCCGCCAATCGCGACGGCGGCTGCGCCGTGACGTGGCGCGGGGCGCGGCGCGCCCCCTGCCGGCCGGCGCCGGGGGCGAGCGCGGGGAGGAGCGGGGCGAGCTGGCGCGGCGCCCGCGGCCGCCAATGGGAGAGGCTGCGGGCGGCCGAGGAGGCGGCGGCGGCGGCGGCGGCCACGGCGGGCGCCGCGGGGAACAATGGCGGCGGCGGCGGCGGCGGCGGCACATGGGCCAGCCGGGGCGGGACCTCCATGGCGCGACGCCGGGCGCGGGCTGGAGGAGGAAATTTAAAAAAAGAAAAAGCTAGGTGGGAGGGGAAAAAAGGAGAAAAAAAAAAGCCCAACACACCCACAAATCCCGGGCAGCGCTGGCGCTGGGCACGGGCGCCCCTCCTCTTGCCTTGGCTTTGTCTCTGGCGTCCGGTCCAGCCCCCTCCTGAGCCAGGAGCCGACTGGCAACCCCGCCTTTTTGGGTTTTTTTTTTTGGTTTTTGTTTTCTTTCTTTCTTTCTTTCTCCCCCACCAGCTGCTGCGATCGATCAGCCCCCGTGCGCCCGGGCTGCTCCGATCAAAAGCGCGCCGCGCCCGCTGCCGGCGGCCCGGCTGGGCGGCGCGCACGCGTGCTCGGCCCCGAGCCGGCTGGAACCAGCCGGACAGGAAGCGCGCGGGCCGCGGCGCCGCAGCCTCTTCCGCTCTCCCGGCAGGCGCGCGCGGGCCGAGGGGGGCGCGGCGGGGGCGCCTCCCCCGAGCCCACCCCCCGCGCGCGCGCGCGCGCGCTGCCGCTCCCGAGGGCTGTCGCCGAGCGGGCGCGGAGGCGGCGGGCGGCGGGGGGGAGGGGAGGGCGCACTCACATCCCCCGGCGTCGGCACGTGCCCCGGGCCGCTCCCGCTCGCGCCGAGCCCAGCCGAGCCGACTGCGGAAAGCGCGCGCACCCGCCCCGCGCCGCCCCGGCTCCCGCGTTCGCTTCTTTGTTCCCGCCCCCGCGCGGCCCATTTTCACGGATCGGGTTCCAGGCCCCACCCCCGACCTCCCGGCAGCCAATCGGGGCCGGCGCCTGGTTCCTGCCCCACCCCCTCGCCCCGCCCTCCCCGGAACCCGGCGAGCCCCGCCCCCTCCCCCGCCCGTGCCCACGTGGTCTCCTCGGCCTTTTCCCTCCCACCCCGGATCCGGGTCGTTCGCGAGTTCTGATCCCCGCGTTTCTCGCCGGCTCCGCTCGCCCGGGCCTCCCCTCGCAGGTGGCTGCTGGGCCCCGTGGCCCCCTCGCGCCGCGCGCGGTTCCCCTCCCTCACCCCCGAAGCCCTTCCCTCCCCCCCCCTCCGGCTCCGAGGCCGCGGGAAGCCCCCGGACGGCTCCGGGGGCGCAGTTGGCGCCGCACCCCCGCACCCCGCGCTAGGCCGAGCCCCGCGGGAGCATCCGCCGGGGAAATGGTCGTGCTCTCGGTGCCCGCCGAGGTCACCGTGATCCTGTTGGATATCGAAGGTACCACTACCCCGATTGCTTTCGTGAAGGTGAGGGGCGGAAAGAGCGGGGGACTGACTTGTGCTTACATGCGATTTGCGGGGGTAAAAAAAAGTCTTGCAGATTTTGCATTAGAGACCTGGAGGCGGTTGTTGTGCGTCTTTGGCAGCCTCCACTGTGGTTCGGGAGGAGGAGGGAGATGGGGAGGGTGACGGGCTCGCTTGCACCGTCTGCACTGCTGCACGGCCCAGCCCGGGTTCGGTGCTGATGTAGGGGTAGGGGGTGGTGGCCTGGGCAGAGGGGCGCAGGTTCTCCAGTGCATCCCTGCAGGTGAGCGCCGGCCTTGTGCTGCTGGCTCGCGCCCGGCCAGGCGTTCTCCGAGGCATACGCTGCCCAAAGGGACCTTGCAGCTAGCCCTGGCGTCTGGAGCCCCCAGACGCTCCGTCCCAGCCCTGCAGATGGGGACCGCCCTGCTCCCTGTTTTGGCCCTGGGCCCCGCGCCGTGGAAGACCGCACTGAGGTTGGGAGCTTCAGGGCACAGCTAGATGACGTTCGTTTTCTTTGGAAAACTCGGGAAGGTTGACGCTGTTGGAACGCAAAGCCTTCCTCCCCGGGGCTGGAGAGAGATGGGCTAGGCGCTTGCCTTGTGCTCTGCATCCCATAGGCTCCCCCCCCTTCACCCCGGCACCGCCCTGAAGGATTCCCGAGCGCAGAGCCAGGAATGACCCCTCCCGCTGAGCAGCCGATGTGACCCAAACACCTAAAAATAATAATAATAGAAAAAGAAGTCTTCTTCAGATGTCTAGGATTTCATTTTGCAGCTCTAGCCTTCGACCTAAGCCACAAGTTTATGACTTTGTGTGATAGCAAAGAAAAAAAAAGGTGCGGTGCCATAGCCTGTTCGAACAGGTAAATGTCAAATCTTAGTCTTGCTTTTACATTTTTAAAGTCCAACAGGTAGGGCATTTGACTTACACTCGGCCAACCCTGGCGTGATCCTTTGCACCACTTACAGTACCCAGATTCCTGCCAGGAGTAAGCCCTCAGAACCACTAGGTGTGGCCCTAGAACAAAAAACACAAGCCCTTAAGAATTCTGCTAAAGGGGCAGAATAGTATAGAATGAGATATCATAGTGTGTAGGGCTCTTGTCTTGCACAGCTTACCCTGGTTGGAGCTCCAGCATCCCATATGGTCCCTCCCTGAACACTGCCAGGAATGATCCCTGAGCACAGCCAGGTGTGACCTACCCCCCAAAAAAACAACTGCTAGAGATTTTAGACGAGTGTGTTAACTAGAGGGACTTGTGTACTGTTAGCCTTTACATGTCCTTTACAAGTAAGAAAAAAAAACTTCCAACTTTTGGAAAATTGCAAAATTTTTCCAAAAACAAAAAAATCTTCCAACAATTTTGAGCAGCCTGGACCTATAGGGTTTTCTGCCCATCCCTGAGTTTAAATTCTTAAGTTTTAATTTTGAACAATTACCAGTGAGGAATAATTGTATTTTTTGTTTTGTTTGGGGGATACACCTGGCTCTGCACTCAGGAATTACACCTGGTGTTGCTGGGGGGCCACATTAGGTGCTTGGATCAAGTCCGGTCAGCAGCGGGCAAGGCAGTGGCCCCTATTTGGCTGTACTATGGCTCCGGCCCCAGGAATAATCTTGATGTAGGTTATAGTGTATCTTTTCAGACTACAGTGTAGCAAGAACAATGTTCCTTCAGAAGAAGTGAATGCCCTGCGGACTAATACTAGGGGAGTTTCTTAAATTGAGTTTGTCTTGTCCCCTATTCCATGAGCCCCCTGCCCCCCTCCCCAGTTTTAAGTCAGGGTGACATTTTTAGAAATACTCAGGACTGAGGCTGCAGATACAGTACAGGAGTAGGGTGCTTGCCTTGGCGCTGCCAACTGGCGTCCCATCTGGCTCCATTGAGCACCGCAGGGAGGAATTACTCCTGAGTGCAGAGCCAAGCACTGAGCATTGCCAGGTGTATGGCTGTATGGCACAAAAACTTAAAAACGCACAAACTCAGGATTGCTCATATGCTGATTGAATTGACTTGTGGACTGATGGCAAAGAAACTTCATTTTCTTGAAGTTCTTGCGTGTGTGGGGGGGGAGGGGTAAGGGAAGGTCCTAGTCTTTGCAGTGATCATTCTCTCCCAGTGATAACTCTTGCTTGTTTATTTTTGACACATCTGGCTGTGGTCAGGGCTTACCCTGTTTCTTTTTTTTCTTTCTTTCTTTTTTGCTTTTTGGGTCACACCCGGCAATGCACAGGGGTTACTCCTGGCTCTGCACTCAGGAATTACCCCTGGCGGTGCTCAGGGGACCATATGGGATGCTGGGAATCGAACCCGGGTCGGCCGCGTGCAAGGCAAACGCCCTACCCGCTGTGCTATCGCTCCAGCCCCAGCTTACCCTGTTTCTGCACTCAGGGGCTCAGGCATCACTTCTTTTGGGCTCTGGAGACCAAATAAGGTGCTGGCTATAAAACATGGGTCAGAGGCAAGGCAAGCGTCTCTAGCTTTACACTCTTCAGCTCCCAGGATAGTGATAGGAGAGGCCTTCACGTGGTGTGAGATTTGTACCATTCATAGAAAGTGGTTTTATGGAATAAGATACCTCAGCAAATTAGTCTTGTAATAAAACACACCTCTCCCACCTGTGTCTTATGCCAGAATATATTTTTGCACCACTCATGGTTTATAGCTTAGTGATTCGCAGAGTTTTTTGCAGAGTGTCACAGGATTCTAAATAGTTGTGTGTGTGTGATTTCTCCCCTCCTGCCTTTGGTTGACACATTTAAGGCAGGTTCCGAAAAATGCTTTGGGGTTTTTGTATAAAGGACATTTCTTACATTCTGTCTTGTAAGCTCCCTTATTCCTAATTTGCTATACACAAATTCATCAAAACTGATCTTTAGAAGAATATATTCAGAAGAACATGGGGTCTGTATGGATGATTGTGATAAATATGCAGGGTCCCTTATTAAATGGACCACTGGGAAACGTTAGGCTATACATGTTCAACAAGGTTCCTTTTGTTTTTTTTTTTAAATTTTTTAATTTTTTCTAGTTTTTGGGCCATACCCGGGGCTGCTCAGGGTTTACTCCAGGCTCTGCGCTGTAAATCACTCCTGGTTGTGCTGGGGGGAGCATATGGGGTACTTGGGGTTAAATCTGAGTTCTCATAAGTCTTATTGTGTGATTTTCAAGATTTTCATATCACACATGAGCTTTGAGTGTCTAAGTAGCGTTTTACAAATTTAATTGAAATGACAATAAGCGTTTCTATTCTAGCAAGAATATTTAGGAAGGGGCTGATCTTGTAAGTGAACATTCAAGGTCTGAACTTTTGAATAGCAGGAGAAGGGTTCAATTCTATCCTTGGCCGAGTTGGGAATTGGGAGGCGCTTGCTTCGGGCTTTATTAATCCCATTAGGAATGTGAATTTGTCTTACTTTCTGTGGCCTGTTGAATGGAAGCAAGTAATTGAGGAGTTGTAATTTACTGGGGCTACCCTGCAGAGCTACTGCTGGCTGTACAGGGGACCAGAAGGTGCAGCCTAGCTCCTGGATTCTTTTTTTCCTGAGTATTTCCAGTTGGATTTGCATATGAGGCATATTTGCATATCTGACCAGGTAAGACAATACCAAGGGTCCAGCCACAGACTCTGTGTGGGAAGGCAGTCTCAGGACAGACCTTTCCATGCTCACAACATGCAAATGGACATGCAAATAGTTTTACTGTACTCCCTTAGGCTGCTGGCAAAAACTGGTTTTACTTCCTCCCAGTTAGGTCTCATTTTC